AGACGGCCCAAGAGAGCCCCCAGACGGCCCAAGAGCCGCCCAAGGCGGCCCAAGAGAGCCCCCATACGGCCCAAGAGCCGCCCAAGACGGCCCAAGAACCTCCCGGAGACGGGCCCAAGAGGGGCTCCAGAAAGAGACCACGCACCGGAAAACCCAGCCTTACGTCCCAAGAGGCCCCCAGGAGGCCCCCAGAGGCCCCAAAGAGGCCCCAAGAACCCCCCAAGAGGCCCCCAAGACGTTCCAAGAGGCGCCCAAGAAGCCACAAAGAGGTCCCAAAACGGCGCCCAAGAGTCTTCGAAACTGCTCCAAGAGGCCCGCAAAAAGCCCCCCCGCAAGATCCCAACGGACATCCCTGAACACACCGGTTTTTCGAGTCGCGCCCAGCCCCATAACCCGGAGCCTCATCTCAGTGTCCCCGTCCTCCTCCTCTTCCTCCTCCTCCTCCTACACTTCCTCCTCGTTCCCCTCCTCCTCTTCCTGCCCCGCTTCAGCTCATCCTCACCGATGATTCTCCCCCCCATTTTCCGCCTCACCCCCCATCCTCCTCTTCCCGTCCTCCCTTTCTGCCCAGTACGCGCAACCGATTGGGCATCATTTGCACGTCTTGCACTTTAGGGTGCCCTTCTTTGCGTCGCGCGGGACATTGTGAGGGTCGGGGAACGCCGACTTTGGTAGTCCTCTCTTGCACGCGCCGCTGCACTGATAAGCCTGGCAACTGCGCGCTGTGAACCCGAGTTCCTCGCAGCTTCCGCACACCAGTTTAGCTCCTTTCGCCGCTCGATGATGTTCCACTTGCTTCTGCTTCAAATGTTTCGCGTCCGAAAACGCGCCTTTGCACGCCGCGCGCGTCAGCGGCTTCGCGTCCGCCTCTGCTTTCCGCTTGCGATTCTCTGCATCCGCCTTCTCGTTCCGCCCACCCTTCTCGTTGCGAGCGCACGCCCTGCAAAGCCTCTCCCCCGCATCTTTCGAGTCGTACTGGTTCGCCGCCACTTCCGCCTCCGTCTTCAAGAAATTCTTGCACTTCGGGCACCGAATCTGGACTTTCTCCTGAATATGAGAGGCCTCTGAACCACAACTCAGGCACGGTGGCGGGATGGGCCGACTACTGGGAGGAGGAGCAAAGACGACGACGATAGGAATGCGGGGGATAAAGTCGGGCCGTGACGCCCCCAAGACGTCCAAGATTGCCTCCAAAAAAAACAAGGGGTCGGCGGTGTGGCGTAAGCCTAAAGAATCTTGTAACTATCGTCATTGTTGGGCCCCTCGCGCTTGATTTTTTGTTTGAAGAACCCTCTGGCGGGAGTCTGGTTTGAGAGTGACTTGCGAGGGGTCTCATTCGGAAAGCCCCTTCCTGATGGAACCCGCATGTCACGTTGGCAATCGGAGCGGGTCATCCATGTCCTGAAACTGTCGTCACTGTTGGGCCCTCGCGCCTGAATATTGAAGAACCCTGTGGCGGGAGCCTCGTCTCTGAACGACACGCGAGGCAGTCTCAAACGGGAACCCCCTCCCTATGGAGCCCGCGCTTCGTGTTGGTAGCCAGAACGGGCCATCGAGATCCCGTAACTGTCGTCGCTTTTAAGCCCTTCGCGCCTGAATTTTGGAGAGCCGTCAGGCGGGACCGTCGTTTGTGACTGAGTTTCGGAAAAGTCTCGGGCGGGAGCCCTTCCCTGTGGAGGCCGCAACTCACGTTGGCAACCGGAACGGGCCATCCAAATCTTGTAACTGTCGTCGCTGTTGGGCTCCCCGCGCCTGAATTTTGAACAAGCCTGCGGAAGGGGCCTCGTTTGTAGTGAATTGTGAGGAGTCTCAAGCGGAAGCACCTTCTTGAGGAACCCGCGCTTCATATCGATCCACATCGTATAACTGTTGTCGTTTCTGGGCCGGTCGCGTTTTTTTTTTTTTTTTTTTTTTTTTTTTTTTTTTTTTTTTTTTTTTTTTTTTTTTTTTTTTTTTTTTTTTTTTTTTTTTTTTTTTTTTTTTTTTAAAAAAAAAAAAAAAAAAAAAAAAACATATATATATATATATATATATATATATTATATATATATATATATATATATATGTGTATATTATATATATATATATATGGAGAGATAGAGAAAGAAAAAAAGCAAAGACAAAAGCACAAACACCATATATATATAGAGAGAGAGAGAGAGAGAAAGAGAAAGAGAGAGAGAGAGAGAGACTCAAGCGGGAACCTCGTCAAAGGGTGAACCGCGAGGAAGTTGACGGCGGGGGTTCCACTCCCCATGGAACCCGCAACTCATGTTGGCAATCGGAGCGGGTCATCCAGATCTGGTATTTGTTGTCACGTTTGGGCCCTATCGCGCTTGAACGTTGAAGAAACCTCAGGCGGGGGCCTCGTTTGTGAATGAAGCGCGTGGAAGTCTCAAGCGGAACCCCCCTCCCTTGGGGTCTGCGCTGTGTAGTGGTAATCCGAAAGGGTCACGCGAAACTTAAACCTGTCGCCAATTTTGGTTGCTCGAAACAAGCTTGAATCCCGAGGAAATCTGAAGCGGGAGCTTCGTTTGTCAGTGAATCGCGAAGCAGTCTTGAACGGGAACGCCCTCGCTATGGAACCCACCGCTCCCTGTCGGAAGCCGAGCGGGTCGCCGGGATCTCGCAGCCGTCCTCACTCCTGGGCTCCAAAAAAACGAGCGGTGATGCGAGCCCTTGCGGACCAATCCGAGCGCGGCCACGCCTGCGTTTTTTGTTAGCCACACGCTCGGCAGAGCTCACCCCCCCGGCGCGGCGGTGGCGTCACCATCGGCTGCGCCAGGGATGGGGGCGCTGGTCGCACGGGCACGTCGGACGAGCAGTGGCGGCTGCACCTCTACGTCAGGTTCTCCCGCGCCACGCGCGTGCGCAACATGCCAACCCTGCGGCCGCCGACGCGCGAGCCCGTGCAACGCGGGCCGCCATCGTCCCTGCGGAAGGCGTTCCGGCAGTTCGGCGAGATAGCGGGGAGAGCTCCAGGGCCGAGGCGGAGCAGCTCGCAGCACGGCTGGGTTTCACGCCGCCCCCCGCCTGAGCGCGGACGCGCCCACTCGAGGCCCGCGGGGTTCGTCCCAGCGGCCTGGCCCGCGGGGTTGTTTCGCCGCCCCCGCGCCCCAGCGGCCCGCGGGGTTGTCCCAAAGGCATCGCCCGCGGGATTGCCCCAAAGGCTTCGCGATCAAGCCGTCGGCGAACGCGCGCGTGCTGGCCGAGGTGGCGACTGCGCCGAGGAGCATTGGCTGCTTGCCCCGATCAGGGGGGAGAGGAGGTGCACATGGAGAGAAGGCAGGAGGAGGACGAGCGGGGAACGGGTAGGGGGAGGGCGATGGGGAGGAGGAGGAGGTGAAGGAAAAGGAATGGGAGGAGGATCCATATAAGGAGAAAGAGGATGAGAAGGCAGAGCAGAGAGCGAGAAGAGGGTGTCCACCAGGGCGAGGAGGAAAAGGGCGAATGGCAAACAAAACAAATTTCACGTGTGGTCCTGCCATCGGAATGATTGGACCGTCGCGTCGCGATCTGCGTGGCGGGTGCGCCTGGCTGAAAGAATGCTGAGGGTGTCGCATACGAAACGGCCAGAACAAGAATCACAGCTTCAATCAATCGCAACTGAACTCTACCCCTCGGATATGTGCGTACTATGTGTATCCACTATGTGTGTGCACCTCTCGCAATATAAAACCAGAGAGGTATCCGCCACCGTGCCACGAGTGGCGAGGGGAATTCTCCCAAGGCTCTCGTGTGGTCCCTGTCCTGAGTCATGTCCTTTACTATGCTAGGGGCTGGGGTCCCACATTCTCGAACTGTTCGGGCTACAATTCGCAAATCGGCGCCGTGCTAATTTGCCTCAAAGCTTACACACTCGCTGCTCCCCCCACCTCATTTGCAAAGCGATGTTCTGCCAATTGGCCTCAAAGCAGGGTTCCCATCCTGCTCGGGCTCTGATTAGCAAAGCGCCACTCTGCCAGTTGGCCTCACAACATGTGTGTGTGTTCACTGCTCCTCCCCTCATTCGCAGAGCGCCGCTCTGCTAATTAGACCCAAATCTTGCGAACTCGCTGCTCATGCTTGATTCGCCCGAGGGCCCCAACACGGGCGAAGAGGGCCCCAAGAAGCGCCCAAGAGGGCCCGAAAGGCCTCTGAGATGGCCCACGAGCGCTCCAAGACGCCCAGGATGGCCACAAGACGGTCCAAGAGGCCCCACAGAAGCCCCAAGAGCGCTCCAAGATGCAAACATAACTGCTTGCCCGTATGTGCGTCTATGCGTTTTGCGTACTTGCGTTGTCGGGCTTCCGACGCTCCAAGATGGCCCCAGAGGCCCCCGATACCATCCCAAAGGGCCCCCAAGAGGACTCCAAGACGGCCGAAACGGACCCCAATACGGCCCAAGAGCGCGCCCGCCATGGGGGGCCCAAGAGAGCCCCAAGACTGCCCCACGGGGGGGACCCAAGAGGGGGGAACATGAACCGACAATTCGAGCCCTCCGCCCCAATGAGCCCCCAGGAGGCCCCAAGAGGCATCCGAGAGGCCCCCAGGAGGCCCCACGAGACCCCCAAGAGGCCCAAAAAGAGGCCCCAAGAGGCCCCCAAGCGGCCCTCAGGAAGACGCAGAACTGCCTCCAAGAGACCCCCGAGAGGCCTCCGAAGATATCCCAACGAGCATCCAAGAGGCCTCTAACCCACGACCCAGGAACGGTGGTGGGAAGGGTCGAAGGCCACCACATGATATATACATATGCATGTGCAGATACATGTAAATACATGTGGATATATATATATATAGACATAACCCTATACATATACATATAAATATACATGTAACTATATATGTGTGTAATAAAAAAACGCTGTACATGCAAAGATGTAGATACATAGGTACATGTCTGCACTTTTAACATACAAAAATAAGCACACCCTTTCTCTCCTTCTCTCCCCTCCCCGTCATCTACTCCCCTGTCCCTCCCTCCCTCCATCCCCCCGTTTCTACCCCTCATCTCGCCCAACCTGCTGGTTCTTCGCCACCTCCTGCTCAGCGTTCTTGATCTCCGTGCTCAGCCTGGCGCTGGCGGCCGTGTCCTCCTCGATGGAGGACTCCAGGGTCGCGATGCGGGCCTCCGCCTCCGTAATCGCCTTCGTCTTCTCCTTGTCGTTGGTCTCGCACCAGCACGCCAGCTGGACAGCGTGCGGATGGGCAGCAGCAGAGAAGAGCGAGGACGAGGAGGGGGAGGGGCACGGGGAGGGGAGAAGGGGGGCGGCGAGGCGAGGTGACGTGGTGGAGAGGAAAACGAGGCAAGCTGGTGTGGGCAGATGTGCGGGGAGGGTGCCAGGTCGAGGCCTGGCACTTCAGGGGCAGGCCCTCGAGACATGGGGGCCCCGGGGCGCGAAAGCCCTGCAGGATGCAGATCCTGATGGGCGTGTTTTCCACCACCACCACCATAAGTTGGAGGGGGAAGGAGGAGGAGGACGAGGAGGAGGAGGAGGAGGAGGAGGACGAGGAGGAGGAGGAGGAGGAGGAGGAGGAGGAGGAGGACCCCCTCCCCCTCCAACTTATGGTGGTGGTGGTGGAAAACAGGCCGATCAGATCCAACCTGGAGGCCCTCTCCTGCTCCTCAGGGTCCCAAGCCTCAGGGCCCCATGTCTTGAGCAGGGACCGGCCGTCCCGGCATTCCTATAGGCCTACCACCACATGCTCTTAGAACCCAAGAATGTCCTGAGAACACGAAGCCGTGCTCTTAGAACATAAAGGAGCCCGATGTGCTGAAACAGAACAGTCTCAGCCAGAACTGTTCTGAGAACATGTCGCGCAGACCACAACAGATTCTCAGAACATCTGCGGTGGGCCTATAGGTAAGCCAGGACGCGTCGCCACTGCTCGACATCTTCGAACCCCAAAGCAGTGGCGCCCCACACCGTGGGAGGGAGGACCGCGGTCGCAGTCGGCGCGGCCGCTGAGCTCGAGGACCGAGCGTCTGGGGGGTCTGCCAGGACGCCGGCCAACGGGGGCCTCCACGGGAGGACCAGGCCTGCGGGATCCCCGACGGTCTGGGGAGGATTCGGGTCTGGGATCCCGTGGGTTTGGTCGCGGGCGCGCCTCGGCTGAGTCGAATCGCGACATCGGATCGGATCGGAAACAGACCGGATCATCAACGAATCGTGCCGAATCGAATCGAATCAAAATCAGATCGCAGCGCCCTACTCCGGCTGCTGGCCGATGCAAGTGAATCGAAAAGAATCGAATCGACTGGGACTCCGGGCCCCACCTGGCGAATCGAATCGCATCAAATCGAATCGGAGAAGACCATTGCAAACCTCTCCCATCGTAGGGAAACCAGGGTACGGCAAATTCGTAACGTGACGAATTGTGCGATGGATTATAACACAAGTCTTGAACCGTCTCGCTTTCCGACATCGTGGGTGGATCCTTGGATGCATCGGACGTATCCAGGCTACCGACGGCGCTGCACCTGCAACGCCCGCTTGGTATGAAACAAGCGGGACCCGAGGCAAGCGGGTCCTGGACCCGCCATCCTGAGCCATCTTTGACAGTCCTGGGGCCCAGGCAGCGGCCCCGAGAGTTTGAAACCTGCGAAATACCCGACGGCCCACTTGCCTCAGGAGGAGGAGGAGGAGGAGGAGGAGGGAGGAGGAGGAGGAGGAGGAGGAGGAGGGAGGAGGAGGGAGGAGGGAGGAGGGAGGGAGGAGGGAGGAGGGAGGAGGGAGGAGGGAGGAGGGAGGAGGGAGGAGGGTCGCCTCCGCGTCGCGACCCTGCCGGACCCTGGCGGAGTGATGCCGATGTCCTCGTGCGGGGCACCAGGTGAAGCTGCCGAGGCCCCACAGACCATCGAGCTGCATACACCCTGCGAAATGCTTAAGAAATCATGGGTTAAGAAATTCATGGTCTCAGAACTTGAGCAAAAACCCAACATTTCTATCAAAATCTTAGGATTTACATTGAAACGTTAAGAGTAATCGAGACTCTGGCCGAAAACTTAGGTTTTCTTAAGCATCGCCTAAGGTGTAGATTGTGAAAAGCCCGGCCACCAACAAAACTCGGGCGGCCGGTGGGGGCACCGAAAGAGGGAGGCGGCACCCGGAGAGCTTCGGGGATGAGGGGAGGCGGCGATCGAAGTGCTTCGGAGGTTGAGCAGAAGGAGCGGAGGAAGAGACGGAGGAGGAGAGGAGCAGCAGGAGCATGAGGATTTTTGATGACATTTACAGCCGCCCTCTGCAGAACGAATCGCAAAGCAGTCAGCGGGGGGCTGGGGCTGGACCAAACCAGTCCTGGACCCCCTGGCCGCGAGGAGGAGGAGTAGGAGGGACCAGGAGGAGGATGAGGGCAGCAGGGATCAGGAAGGAGGAGGCGCAGCAACAAGGAAAATTAGGAGTAGGAGCACCGCGGAGGGGCAGGAGCAGGAGGGAGCAGGAGGGAGGAGGGGCGCGGACACGAGGGAGGGAAGGGGGGAGGATGCAGCAGGAGGGAGGAGGGAGGAGGGAGAAGGAAGGAGCGAGCGAACAGCCAAGGCGGGAACGAGTCCGAACCGCCCGACTAGACGAGGACCGCATCAGCACTCAGGTACACGGCATAAAGCAACGTGCACGGCACTACAGAGGGGGCCCATCGAAGTTTGCGTCCAAGAGCTCAAGCTTGATTGAACCAGACCGCGGACACACAGGGCCCCCTCTACAAAACTAGGCAGGATCCAGAGCCTTGCCCGTGTGGGGGTGAAGGCCCTGGGCATCGTACTTTAAGCTTCAAGGCCTGACTACTCTTAGTCTAAAGGTGATCTGCCCGACCGTTGCACTTCGCACTGAGACCCCGCAGATTGCCTCCTGAGAGAATCGTGTGTGCGGCGCACACGGAGCAAAACAGCACACGCCCAGACTGCTCCGTCTGGTGCCCAAGGGTCCTGAACTACAAAATTGAGGCAGTGGGCGCCTCTGTCTCAGACACGGGCACCAGGACCTCCTCCGCAGCACTCCAGAGGCGCCCCCTTGGACGACAATGGGACAAAGACCTTATCCCTGTCGGCGAAAACAACACGGACTTGCCACCGCTGGTACGCAGACGGTCCACACACCTTCCTGCTGCCCGTCGTAAACTGGGCGAGGGAGGCGGGTGGTAGCATACATATTACATACACTGCAGCGCCATTCGCCTCGGCTGGGGATATGAAACAGCGTGTGCTGCGTCATGGCCAGGGGGTCCTTGCCAACCGTCCTGGAAACCTCGCCCGCGGCGGGAAAAGACGAGGTTGAGGACTCCTGAGCCAACGCAGCGATCGATTGCGAGAACCTCGCCAGAAAATCGAAGGTCAGACGCGTGGATTTCATACAGGCAACGTGATGCTCGACAGGAGTGTTCGCGACCGCATGGGACTCCGACCCAAGAAGGGCGAACACAAATCAGCCGACAAATGACCGAGAAACTCTGTAATCTCCGAGGCCTCGAGCTCTAGAACCTCGCCCCACTGACGGTGGGAAGGGGTCCACCTGAAAGGGCGAGGGCCATCATAATCATACAAAGCAAACAGCTTACGCCAAACACTAAGTCTGTAGCATGCTTGGACCCACTCATGGCCAGCCGGGGGTCCCAAGACTCTCCTTCTTTGACCGCAGAGAGATGGTCCGAGACAGCCCGCGCGGACGGGGAGCCCACTGGGGGCCAAATCCACCGCATGCCATCCACACCTGCACACTTTAGGACTAGACGCCGCCAGTCCCGAGCCGTCGGTGAAGCTGGCCCGCTCTCAGCGCGCTTCGGTCGCCCCCCAGGAGTACACAGGGAACGACTCGGGGACAGGGTTAACCCGGCACGAAACAAACCGGAGCCCATACAGGACCTCGCACGAGTCCCAAACTTGGACTCCATCTTCACAGCACCCCTCACCCCCAAGCTCCGACCTGCGCACCAGGATGTCATCGGGAACTTGGTCCTGAGACCTGATATGCTCAAGAACAGGCTCACAATCACGTATCTGGCGTCCGAGCGACCCGAGTGCATGTTGCGAGCAAAACTGGCAACGATCATTGTCGGCGTAGCCACCAGCAAACTTACGGGTGGGCGGCCACGTGGCTCCTCCTATGAGGCAGCGGAAAGCCCTTCGCCTCGTGTGGTCACGAATTCGAAGGACAGCATTGCGAGCACACCGAAGCAATAGCTTAGCATGGGCCTCAGCCTCGAGGAGATGCGCAAGCATGCTGCGAACCTGCCACCTCTGGATACTGGCACGCAACTCCATTTGAATGGCATGCGGGGCCGACTGCAGCAGATCAAGGGCCATGCCATCAACAGTGACGATAACATGAGCAGCAACCATATCCCAGTTGACAAGGCGAAGCGATAGCAGCATGGCGCTGATCGGGCCTCGTGAATCGTTCCACGTGGCCCGCACAGCTAGCTTATCGCGTATGGACATCCAGGCCCTCTGCAATCGTCCTAAGGAGAACCTGGCATCCCACAACAGCCCTGCATATCTTTGAAGTAAGGTGACGGTGGCATTAAAAATGGGGCCATAAAAAGGGGGCAGGCTGCGTTGCGAGCCACGTGGTCAGGGATCCAGTCCGCCTCGCACCCACTCAGGTTCCCGCAGTGGACCTCAACTTCATCACCGTCGGTTCCGTCAGCCCGCTAAACCCCGCCCCGTGGCAAGCAGCAGGCATGAGGCCAATCCTCCAAAACATGAACATCTTCCCAGGCGCACCGCGCGGCAAGGCAGCAAACTTGCCGCGTCGACTTTACATCTTGTCGGGCCCAGCTCTTTCCATCACTCTGGCAACCGACCGGCAAGAATCTAATTCCCTAAATTGCTCCTATGGGTGTGGTTACGCAGTCTCAAGCTACGAGCAGACGGCGACACTCCCTCCGTCCCCCTCCCTCCCTCCCTCGACGCCACCCGCAGACACTCCCTCCCTCTCTCCCTCCCTCCCCCATTTCTCCCTCCCTCCCCCTCTCTCCCTCCCTCCCTCCCTCGACGCTCCCTCCTCCCCCCTCCCTCCCTCCCTCCCTCGACACTCCCTCCTCCCTCCCTCCCTCCCTCCCTCCAGACGGCGACGCCCCCCTCGACGCCACCTCCGTCCTTCCAGCCCCCTCCCTCCCTCTCTCCACGGGCCACCGGGGCCACGGCGAGCCGCGAGCGGAGGACTGTGCACCGGGGCGGCGGCCCGCCTCCGCGAGGGCAGCCCCGAGCAGAACGAGCGGAGGCGAGGAGAGAGGGGAGGAGAAGGAGGGGGAGGAGGAGGAGGGGGAGGATGAGGAGGATGGGGAGGATGGGGAGAGGGAGGAGGAGGAGGAGGAGGAGGAGGAGGAGGAGGAGGAGGAGGAGGAGGAGGAGGAGGAGGAGGGCGAGGAGGAGGAGGAAGGAGGAAGGATGAGGAGGAGGATGGATGGATGAATGGAGTGCCCATTCGGGGAGAGTGCACAGCGATAAATGATGAGCTCAGGCTCATGTTACTAGCCTCGAGCTAGGGCCTCTGTATTACGTACTCTCTCCATGAGAGCAGCCAACCGCAGCTCATATGGAGGGGCGGCCCCTGATGCGGAGGGAAAACTCACCACCGTAGAGTCAGGAACCGCAAGACTATATTGGCGGGGATCTTCCGACGGCCTCGTAGGGACCAGCCGAGCAAGGGGAACAGTCCTGTCCAGAAGCTCCTGGCACTCCCTGTCCGGTGATTTAACATGAAAAAAGCGGTTACTACTATCCTGACCTTTCTTAGTGGGACGCATACAGGGACCAGCCACCTTTACAGCACGGCCCTGGGACCACCCCCCCACAATTCAAACAAACATAAGTCTGCTTCGCAGGGACCGCACACACAACGTCGACCGAGGCAGAATTTCGAGCAAGTCCAGCCGCGACGATGAGGTGCCCCTGAGGACCATTGAGCAGCTTCCCTATGAGGGGTGGCACGCCAGCACATCCTGTCAGATCAAGCTTAGATCGTACATTACCTCCTAGCGAAAAGCATCTGGTGCAATGCCACCCCGCAGGCCCGTCGAAACGAAGGAGGAGGAGGAGGAGGAGGAGGAGGAGGAGGAGGAGGAAGAGGAGGAGGAGGAGGGGGGGGGCGCTTCGCGCGGGCACATCTCTCCAGACAGGCCCCAGATCAGGGGAGACGCATGGCGTGGGCAACGTGCGAGCCAATCGAGCAAAGGAATACATTGGAGAGGGTCGGTCGCACTGCAGACAGAGAGAGAGAGAGAGACAAAGAGAAAGAGAAAGAGAGAGAGAGAGAGAGAAAGAAAGAAAACAAAAAACACGCGCGTCGGGAGTCCATTGGCAAGATGGTGGAACAATCCGCTGTGGTACACCGCAGGCGGCCCTGTTTTGGAACAGTGCAACGTCGGGCGGGAACGACAACGGCTACGACGGGGAGGGCGGAGGTTGACAGACAGTGGAGATCAGGTCAGATAAGGCTTGTATGCCCACGGGGGGGGTCGGCCACCCAGGGCTCAGGCGGAGAGAATCCAGCGCGGCGAATCGGGCTGAGCATATATCCGTGCGCCAGGCGGCGCATTGACGACTCGTGGTCGATGGACGTCGTCAAACGATCAAGGGTGAACCTATGTTCACTTGCTGGAGTGCGGTGCGCAGGAGCCGCTGGGCCCCCAGAGGGAGGAGGAACAGGAAGAGCATGAGCAAGACTACCACGACGGGGCGAGCAGGAGGAAGGAAGGCGGAACGGGGGGAAGAGGAAAAGGGAAGGAGGACGAAGAAAAGTGGATGAGGGATGTGTGGAACCAGCGCTACGCGAATGGGCGCCGAATCCCTGGGATATGCTCCCAAGTTGAGGTTCTCTGGGCTTGAGAATGCCTAGAGCAGCCTAGAGCCGTGGAGAGAAGGGGAGGCGAGGAGGAAGGGGAAGGGCACGATGAGCACGAGGATGCGGAGGGGGCGAGGAGGAGGAGGAGGGAACAGGAGGGAAGAGGAGAATAAGGAGGGGAGGACGACAACTAGGACGAGGGGATGGGGGCTTCAGAGGCTCCTTGTCGTAGATCGCCTCGTCCTCCTCCTGCTCCTTCTCCATCGTCTTGAGCATGTCCTGCTGCCCGAGGGGCGCGACGGCGGGCTCAGCCAGGCAGAGCTGGGCCCTCGCCAATGCTGCTCCTCCTCCTTTCTTTCGAGGAGGAGGAGGAGGAGGAGGAGGAGGAGGAGGAGGAGGATCCTCCTCCTCCTTCGGGAGGAGGGGGGGACAGAAGGACGGAGTGAGCGAGGGAGGGAGGATGGTGGGGGGAAGGAGGGAGGAGGGGCGAAGGCGGAGGGGGGAGAGAGGGAGAAGGGAGGAGGGAGGAGGAAGAGGGGGGATGGGGGGGGGGAAGGAGGGAAGAGGGGCGACGGAGGAGGGGGAGAGGGGGGAGGGAGGGAGGGGGGAGGCAGGCACGGAGGGGAGGGATTGGGGGGGAAGGGGGAGGAAGGGTGGATGGACATTGAGTGCTAAAGGTGTGGTTTGGCAATGCTGCCGGATGGTGACGGTTGTTCGCCGCCGGTATTGGGACACTTCTGGGTCGAAGGGTTCCCAACACAAGGGGGGGCGCTAGTCAAGCTCGGCAAATGCCAAACACCACGAGGAAGACGAAGAGGAAAATCTCGTAATCACTCTGGCGTCCCAAACCTGCCGTGTTCGCTGGGGGGTGGGAGGCGTTCTGATTTGATTTTTACCGAGCTCGCACCCATAGAATCGAGTGCCACCGAGGAGGCAGATGTCCTAGAACCTGGCTCCATTGGGCAATGCGGGCAGCAACATATGCACCGTGGCACCTCACACCAGGGTTCGGCCAGAACAAAACAACATCAAAACTTACTATCCATGGGCCCGATCGGCACTCCTCGGACCCAAGTCCGGGGCAACAACTGGTCATACAGAACATTACGAAATCAACAAACTACGCCACCTTCTGGCGCTTTGCTCCGTTGTCGGCTGCGCGGGTGGCGACGACCGCAGCTTGCAAAGCCTGACCGAATCGGTAGATGTCTGTAAAACTGTTGTACAACGGTACAGGGGTGACACGCAACACTGCCGGCTTGCGGTAGTCTATGATCCGCCACCATGCCTTGAGCAAGCAGTGACGTGAACCAAGGCTCATACAGTTTGCTGCGTGGACCTAGTGGTGGAGTGACCAAGTAGTGAAGTGGCATGCTGTGGGCTGGGGGACTCGATGCAAAATCTGGACCTCCGACGGGCCAGGAATGCTGAGCGCTCTCGGAATATGTCGCACATAAGCCTTCTGGGACACGAAACGGGAAAGCAAAAACACAACTCGCTTATCCCCAACCCGCCGAAACGACTCCAAGACTCCTCAAGAGGCTTCCTGGAGCCCCCTAGCTGGGACGCAAGACATAAGGACAAACATAATGGGGACGATACCCAACCACGAACGATGCCCAAAGCCAACAGCTGCCGCTATGGGGCAGACAGCGTCCGCGGCGATACAGACAGCGAATCCGATTTCAACGGACTAGAACTGATATCGATCTTCGTCCCCGTTTCGCTCCTACAGGCTAGAGGCCCCAAGGCACCGTGGCGGGATAGATCGGGATACGCCAGAGGCCACCGGATAACCCCGCGCTTGGCGACCTCCTCGAAAATCGCGACGCAGCGTTCGTCGCTGTCGAACTTCAGACAGAGCATGCTGCCCCGACGGTCAACTTCCGAGGGCGTGATCAGTACGAAGCCAACGTCCCCAGAGCCGAGCTCCTCCCGCAGCGTTTGCTCCAGGTAACAGGTGAGAAGCAACGACCTCCAACGCACTGACGGATCAAATAATCAGTTTTCGTCACTGCGTCTGGAAGCCGCTTGCGGGCTACAAGACCGACAAACGATGGCCAAAGACTAAGAACCGTTCCCCGGGAAGTGGTGGACAGCTCCGGGGACCGCGTACTGAAAAACAAAAAACACGACAACGGAGGAGGAGGAGGAGGAGAAGCAATGACCTCCCCCGCAGCAGGCACATGCCTGGCTGAACGAACACGTCTAAACTCGCCAACAACGACACCATCTCCAACACAGGTGGGTTGCACAGCTGGAACGCCGCGGCGCCCGGGCACGGGTGCATGACGTGCGCCATGTCAAAGCGGGTGTCCTTCTTGTGACCCCACCACCCTGCTAGCTTCGGCATCCCTGCGACCTTCTCGTGGTGCCTCTCGTGAATGAAAAAACCAGCGATGGATCCAGGACCAGAGTTGAGGTACTTGTACGAGCACCAGCACGCACCGTCCACGCCCCAGTCGTGCAGCCGCAGGTTGACGTTCCCAGCGCTGTGGGCGCACTGCGCCAGCACAGCCGCGCCCACCTTGTGACCAGCCGCTGTGAGTGCTGGCACGTCGAAGTACTGCCCCGTGTAGTACTGCACCGTCGGAATGACGAGGATGGCCAAGGTATCGCCAGCAACCTCGATGGCCGCAAGTACGTCGTCCTGCCTCAGAAGGCTCTCGCCCTCCCGGGGCTTCAGTGCAACCAGCACCTCCTTCGGATCCAGGCCGTGGAAATGAGCCTGCGACTCGAACGCGTGAAAGTCGGAGGGGAAGGCGTCGGACTCATACATAATCTTGCAACGCTTGCCTTGAGGTTTGTAGAAGGCAACAAACAAAAGGTGCAGATTCACCGTCAAACCATTCATGATCGCTACCTCCGACTCCTTCGCGCCGACCACTTCCGCGCTCTTAGTCTTGCAGAACTCATCAATCGCCACCCAGGGGCGCTCTCCGGTGAAGTGCCCCTCGACGCCCACCTTCGCCCATTTGTCCAGTTCCTCGCAAGGCAGCCAAAACCTTAGGCATAATGTGTCCCTCCTTCTCCCCCTCTAGTATCTCATCTATACGCACTTCTCCTCCTCCTCCTCCTCCTCCTCCTCCTGCTTCATTCCCCTCGCTTCTCTCTCCTCTTCCTCTACCTCCTCCGTATTCCTGCTTCTCTTCCCCCGTACTCTTCCATACTTCTTCTTTGGAATCGAGAAGTGGAAACTCAAGGTGGGGGGGGGCGAGTACCACAAACTCCTGCCTTGACGACGTCGACGCGGCCCTGGTTCCTCACACCGCCTGGACTTCTCAATCTTGGACGAGCACCGCTCACGGAGGTCCCCATAGACTCAACTTCACCTCTGGTGTGGATTTCGCGTCATGGGTTGAAACGGGCCTGCACCAAGCCTGGAACGGGCCGCCGGGGGGAAGGGGGCGTTCGACCTCACGCGCCCGGGCAAGCGTCGCCGCCGCGTCGAGGCGTCGTCAACTGGCTCTGGTCGCCCAAAGCCTCGCTGATGAGCTCGCGCGTCCGCCTGGGCTGCAGCCCCAAGGAGTGGCCGCACAAGTATACCGCCTCAGCGCCCGGCTGGGCAACCTCCTCGGCGAAGGGGGCTTCGTAAGCAACGATCGGCTGGGCCGCTTCTCTTCACGCTTCGCACCAAGCAGCGCGCCACTATCTTCGCGCCCTCGCATGGCTTCCCCGTTCCAACGACCGATACAGCAACTCTGCGGCGAACGCGAACCACGCCTGTGTTCGGCCTCGGCGCCAGGCTGGGCAAGCTCTTCGGAAAAAGTGCCCGAACGAAACAGGAGGTAAACGCCGCGTCCTCCGTGGCCGAACAGAGATCGCTGGCTCCAGACAGGCTGTTCTACCTGGCGATGGGACGAAACTGCAAGTCGAATTCGACTCAACAAGAGCTTGTCATTATCTCACGTGTGTTGAAATCGACTCCGAGAGAGGGATAACAAAAAGGAAAGAGAAAGAGAAAGAGAGAGACAGAGAAAGAGAAAGAGAGAGAGAGAGAGGGAGAACAAAAAAAGAAAGAGGAAGACGTCGGCAGACACCCACGAGCGCGCAGGCGAACGGCGACGAACGCTACTAGGAACTCGTTTTGGCATCTGGAAAAGAAACCCCGCTGGGGAATTGCTCACAGCTGAAATACGGCGAGTACCGCGCGAAATGTAACGCGCGGCTACATTCGCGCCATCGCGCCACCCTCTGAAGGGACGGCTCGGCTGGTCGGACCGCGAGCCGCGAAGCGCGATGATCTTCGCCTCCGAGAGGGCTACTACACAGAAGTGTCTGAAACAGGTATCGGCCTCATCAATGTTTTCGGGTTCGTGTTGTTTTCGCTTTCCCTAGTTTTATCTTCAACCCGCCTTTGTTGCAAAACACAATGGAAACGAAAACGGCCCACGAAATCGTCAAAACCCAATGTAGGTCGACCCCTGTTCTGAAAATCCCCCTGGGACTGCTTGCTCTCTCGGAAAGAGGTTTCCTGCTGTTGCTAAGGTGAAGGCCCCCCAGAGGCCCAAACCCTTGGCCTCCAGCTGGTCGCTAATGCCAGCGGTCAGGATATCCGTAGGCAATTGTTCTGCTATCTAGGGGGACAAGAATGCCTCGCGGACGGGACTGCACATGGTGCCGTGCAGCGGAGTTCCTAAAGTCGTAAGGCTTGTCCACCGCTCCTACCAGCTTTGGATAAGCCTTGGGGACATGGCGTGTTGCAGAAAATGCGGGGCCTCCGGTTCCTCGTGTTCAAGGCGCTTGATCACGGAATGTCGAAAGAAAGGTGCTGGCCAGTCGCTGGCGCATTTGAAGAAAGCGGGTGGACCCCTCCTCCAGGCAACGGGTTGGGAGGAGTTGGCAAGTCACCCCGAGGCCGCCCTAGCCAAGCATTTTCTTAGATACCTGGCGGGCTGCAGTCTGCATCCCCTTCCTCCCCTCTTGCCCCTTTTCCAACGCGTAGTGCGGCCCTCGGGAGCTGGAATACTGCGCCAGAGGATCACAGGGTCATGGGGCCGTGTGTCTGAGCTCCTTGGACGTCTTGCCGTAGTTCCCAGCGAGTGGAATGTGGAACGCCTCGCGCTGGTAGGAGGGGTGGCCAACGAAGAGCTCATCGAGAGACTTGGCAAACTCCGCGCTGACTCCGTCGCTGGTTGGCCACCAGACCAACTCGCCGGGCACAACACACAAGCCATCAACACCGCATTTGTTTGGATGGCTCTCGGTCAGATCTCCGACGTCGTGTTATCCTACGACCACGAGAACCACCCCACACTCAAAGGGGGAAGGGGGGCGTGCACTGGCACCGCGACCAGGGCCGATCCAAACCACTTGGGGCCGATCGCAGCCACTTGGGGCGGATTCCAATAGGTTGCTATCGGCCTGATGTGGTTGGGATGTTTTGGGTTCGCTTACATATTGTTTAGGTAAGCAGAGGCTCTCCAAGAGAGCTTCTGGAATGAGGGGAGTGCCTTCGGCTCACCGATGAAATTCTGAAAAAGCGGTTGCGATCGGGCCCGTCGCACGAGTAGTGGTAATAGTCGTAGTAGTAGTAGTAGTAGTAGTAGTAGTAGTAGTAGTAGTAGTAGTAGTAGTAGTAGTAGTAGTAGTAGTAGTAGTAGTAGTAGTAGTAGTAGTAGTAGTAGTAGTAGTAGTAGTAGTAGTAGTAGTAGTAGTAGTAGTAGTAGTAGTAGTAGTAGTAGTAGTAGTAGTAGTAGTAGTAGTAGTAGTAGTAGTAGTAGTAGTAGTAGTAGTAGTAG